TCTAAATCCCCTGGTACTCCAGTACGAGCGAAGCCTAAGTCTGTGCTATCATCACGGTCAAGGCGGAGCAGAAATCGTGGCGGCCTCTGGCCCTGGCTGAAGTCATCCTCTAATCTTAGCCGTGCTGGCCATTGGCTGGACTGCCATCACCTCAAGGAGGAGGTGGCTGCAGCCAGCAGAATGTGATCAGGACTTGTAAATACCCTTGCCTGGAAAGTCTCATTAATGGCTTCATCTAATATCGATGTACAGTAATTCCTTCCAGCAGTATCTTTTTAAAAGCCTTTAGCAATCTGTCATCCTCTTCCTCCCTTCCCCCCATTATAAAGGCACATTAGTCAGGAGGGATCGCACAGTCCTGGGAAGTTTCAGGCTGCCTGCGCTGATGCCGTCAGGAAAATGCGACTGTGCGGGAGTGCGGGTGCAGTTACAGTGACTGCTGCTGCTGCCGCCGCTGCTGCTGCGCCGCTGCGGGGCCACCCTGGAGGGCCACGCACAGAGAAATGGAGAGGTGGCAGAGGTGCTCGCGGGCGCCTGGGAGCAGCACAGAAGGGACAAGTGGAATGCCCTCTTCCAGGAGACAAAACTCGCTCTCTCCGTAAGTTTTGCCTCCACTTTTAGAAATGCTTTTAAGATTTTTGAGGGAGAGAGAAGAAGGTTTCGATAGTGCTTATTTTGTTTTGGGTTTAGCCACCTGTTAAGCTCATTTTAACCTTTGCTGTCACTATGGTAAAAAGGCATTTTTTTTTACCTAAGAATTAATAACTTGTCACTATTTTAGACGCAATTTAAGCTTGCATCGTATTCTTGCCACATTAACACCATCAGCTTGGGGAAAAAAAAAACGGTGTTTTAAGAGGAGTTTCTGAGACCTCTTACTGAGTGCAGGAGCGTTAAATACCTCTCTTACAGTTAATCTGCTCAGTTAGCTGTGGCTGGAAACTAGAGGAGGGTTTGCAAGGTAATGAATTTTGTGATAGTAAAGAAAGTTGGGTGTGGGAAGCTCCCCCTCTAAGGGAAAATCCTGCGTCATTCACTTCATGATGCAGCAGCAAAAACCCTTGGGGTGTGGCTTGGTTTGGAGCTGCTACCAGAGCATACAGTGTTTTCATCTTTCTTGTGGTTACAAAGGTTTTTCTCCTAATATACATATACACAAAATGCCTCAAATATTAAAGTGCAATCTCGGTGCTTGTGAGGCTGCCATGGATTTAAATATTTAAGCAGGCAGCAATCAAAAGTGAGCTCTTCCTGAAACTGAGGCGTTCTCTGTCATAACCGTCTCCCCATCATGTAGCTCTGGAGCTTGTCTTATATGTGCTGGTAGCTTTGCCTTTCAATATTTGGCTTGTTTTTATTTATTTATTTATTTATTTAATAGTAGGCTTGGTTGGAGTTACAAACAAGACATTTGTTGTTCAGTTTAGGTGCAGGAGTTCTGTTTTGTTCTGTTTTTCTTTATTATTTTTTTAACCCAATCAGTTCTATGCTGACAACTGGCATTAAAAGTAAGCTTTGGGGAAGGAATAAGGAGCAAAGCTAATTTCAGTGGACTGCCCTTTAATCCTAGGATAAGGAAGGAAGGGGTTTCTTTCTTGAGTAAAGGAAATGGGAGTTTATCTAAACCGATTCCATACATGTTTAGTGACAACTGAATGGTTTTGCAGCTTGACTAGTGGTAGTGAAGTAACATGGAAAGATGAGTGCTTTTTTGTTGGTGGTTTTTGATGGGTCCCCAGAAAAAAAAAAAAATCAGAAAATAAGTTCCTGGTCAGTACATTAGAGTGCTTTACTATACCTTATGCTAATGGTTTGCTTATTAATGAGATCTGTCTTTTCTAATCTGTAAGGCATGCACAGAGGTATAATAGTGTTCTACCTTTTAGCTATCCTGAAGTTGTTTTCCATTTCCAACACACAAATCTCACAAGCCGCATATTAAAAAATACACCTGATTGTATATGTAATGCTTGGCTCTTGGACTGTCAAAAAAGAAAGAAGTAATGTGTGAAATCCAGACAAGGGCAATTAGGAATAAAAAGAGCTGATCCTTCCCATTTTCCCTAGCTAAGGAGCAGATGTTAGCATGGTATTTGCAGGTGGAAACAGGTGAGCCTAACAATACTGATGAAACAAAACTAAGATTTTTTTTCTTACACTTGAAAGTATGTGTGTGAGAATAGGTCTGTGGTGGTTTCATGGTGGGGGAAAGGCTGTTGGGAGTGAGAAGTTTTGCTAAGGATGTAAGCTAGAAATTCAAACCTAAATTTGTGGGACAGGAGACACGTTACAAGATTTAATTGCTGCTTTAAAAGGCTTGTAAGGATGAAAATGTTGTGCAAGCAGTAAGTATAATACTTCTGTCTCTTGTATTGAAACAAGCAGTGCATCTGATAGCATCTTTGTGATGGGATCATATTGTAATTGCAAAGTTACATGATTGATAATTCTATTTTTTGATATTATTGCAGATTTTGTGTAAATGGTCACAGAAAATCTATGCTGTTTTTTTTAACTGAATTTTCTAGCCATTGTCTACTTCAAATATGTCATGGGTTAAATTTGCTGTAGACTGTTGGAGAGAGGCTTTGTGAGTGGGAGTGGTAGAGACCATACAGCTTTGCAAGCAATGGGCTTGTCAGCCGCATTTAACATCAAGCAGTACTATATGTATAAAAATGAAATAAAGAGTGTGTGTATATAAGCTAATGTATGCCATCGGTGATACTTCTCATAGGAGAGGAATATAATCAAGCTTTGCGAATGAGCAAAATGTAAAGCTGGATGCTGGAATACTTGCCGTGCAACTCAAGGAAGATGCTTATCTGTTTGAAGGAACATGTGATCGCCATTTGAGTTAAATTTTAATCTATTGCTGTCTTCCAGCTAATAATCAGAAAGCTGATTTCCAGTTCCCAGCAGTAATAAAAATTGCAAATCTACCCAAAATGGAAACTCTATAATGTTAATCAAAAGGAATTTATGTAAAACCTAGTAGAGTACCTATATTTTACCCAGATTACAAGGTAACATGGTAGAGAGCTAATAAAATCATTTATCATAGCAAAAGTTTCATTAGCATTCAAGGAGACAGTGCATTTTAGAATATTTCCTTACAGTGGAAAATGCACTAATTACAGTTAGTTGCAATGTTTTGATCTTGCCAGAAACCCCATAAGAAGGAAAAATTACATGTATGTGATGTTTCACTTAGTAAATACATCACTTGGAGCTTGATCTAGTTCTCTGTCCTTAGTGGATGGAGTCTCACACTTTCTTCCACTCTCTCTTCCTCTGTTACTCTGTGGGAAATAGTATCAATCTAAACAGCATTTGTCCAGTTTTCTTGCTCCTCTTTTTTTAGAAAAAAGATCTCCTCATGGAGCATTCCGTTCTGTAACCTGCACATTTGATGTGACCTCCCACCTTTAGAATAAATGGTCTTTTTGTTCTTTCTCCTGGGATGCAAGCATATTGCCTTGCATGCTGAACATTTGCTCTGCCATAGTTTTGGATCGATAACCCGCACCGAGGTCACTTTCTTGCACCCCTTGATCAGGCTCAGCAGCCGTACCCACCCTGGAGAATTTTGGCAGGAGGTGCCCACTAAGAACCTGAAGGATGAGCCAGCAGCTGCTTGTGCTTTCTGCGGTGACCCGAAAGGAGAAATTGCTTTATGCTATTTTCACAGCAAACAGCTGTTACTGACACCACCTTCTCTAGCATTATTTGGGTGACAAGATGTTTTCTTTGTAGCCTTTCCATTGTAACTGGCTGAAGCAGAATACACATGCCTCAAAAGCAGGGATTTTCACCCAGAGATGGGAGTGGAAAAACTCCTTTGTATATCTGAGTTATTTTGCCAGCTGTCTGTATTTATGCATGTACCAACAAAGACAAGGCTAGTCATGTCAAATGATGCTGGCTTTGCTTGTAACAAGTGTGATCAAGATAACATTCATTAACTGGAGACAGCAAGAAAAGCAAAAAGCAGGATTTCCAGCTTATTGAGGTGGAAGAGGCTTAAAACTTTCTGGTTTGTTTTCAGGCAACACCAACTGTTTTTGAGATTTTTGAGTTCAGACCAGGGAGGCAAAGCTGCAGAGATGGCCTTTATGTGGAGAGCGATAGGAACGTATGGAGCTGTGCCTAAGGCTGGGTGTGAAGCGAGTCAAGAGCTCACGAGTAAGGATTGAGGGGCAGACTAACATAGGAGACACTGCTGTGGGTGTACAAGCCACCTAATCAGGAAGAGTGAGGCCTTCTACAGACAGTTGGAAGTAGCCTCATGATCACGAGCCCTGATTCTCATGGTGGAGACTTCAACCACCCTGATATCTGCTGGAAAGACAACACCGCCGGGCACAGACAGTCCAGGAGGTTCCTGCAGAATATTCATGGTGGCTTGGAGACAGGGGTGATGGAGGAGCAAACGAAGACAGGTGTGCTGCTGGACCTTGTACTGACAAACAAGGGACTGGCTGGAGATGTGAAGGTTGGCTGCAGTGACTGTGAGATGGTGGAAAGCAGGAACCTGCAAGGAAGAAGCAGGTTGCAGATTGCAATCCTGGACTTCAAGAGAGCAAGCTTTGGCCTTTTCAGGGACATGCTTAGAGGAATCCCATGGGGTAGGACCCTGGAAGGAAAGGAGCTCAAGAAAGATGGTTAATATTCATGGATCACTTCCTCCAAGTTCAATGTTGGTGCGCCCCTGTGAGAAAAAGTCAAACAAAGGGAGCAGGACACCTGTGTGGATGAGCAAGGAGCTCCTAGCAAAACTCAAACAGAAGAAGGAAGTATAGAGGATGTGGAAGAAATAGACGCTTGGGAGGAATACAGGAATGCTGTCAGAGTATATGGGAATGTGGTGAGGAAGACCAAGGCCCATTTGAAATTAAATCTGTCAAGAGATGTCAAGGACCATAAGAAGGGCTTCTTCAACTACATCAATAGCAAAAGGAATGCTAGGGAAGTTGTGAGCCTGCTGCTGAATGGGGAGGATGCCCTGGTGGAAAGCAGAGTTTCTGAATGACTTCTTTGTTGCAATCTTGACTGTTAAGGCTAGTCTTCAGGACCATGGAGCCGAGAGAGAGAGAGCCTGGAGAAAGAAAGACTTGGCCTTGGTTGAGGAAGATTGGTTTAGAGATCATTTTAGGTAAACCTGATGCCCACATGGGCCCCAGTGGGATGTGCCTGGGAGTGCTGACGGAGCTAGTGGATGTTGCTGCTAGGCCACTCTCCATGATCTTTGATGGGTCATGGAGAATATAAGAGATGCCTGAGGGTTGGAAGAAAGCCAGTCACACGAGCCTTCAGAAAGGGCAAGGAGGCCCAGGAAACTACAGGCCAGTCAGCCTTACCTCCAGCCCTGGAAAGGTGATGGAGCAACCCATCCTCAATTCCATCTTTGTGGGCATCTAAGGATAAGAAGGTGGTCAGGAGTAGTCAGCATGGATTCACCAAAAGAATATCATACTTAACCAATCTTACAGTCTTCTGTGATGGAACGACTGACTGAGGAGATGAAAGGAGAGCAGTGAATGTTGTCTGCCTTGACTTCAGCAAAGCTTTCAACAGTGTCTCCCATAACATCCTCGTACGTTATAAATGAGTGGGCAGTGACATGGATTGAGAATTGGCATGTTGGCAGAGCTCAGAGGGTTGTAATCAGCAGCGCGGTCTAGTTAGAGGCCTGTAGCTAGCACTGTCTCCCAGGGGTCCAGTCTTCTTCAACTTATTCATCAGTGACCTGGATGAAGGGCCAGAGAGCACCCTCAGCAAGCTCTCTGGTGCTACAGAACTGGGAGAAGTGGCTGATACACCAGAGACCTGGGCTAGCGCTGAGTGAGACCCAGACAGGCTGGAGGTTGGGCAGAGGGGAACTTCATGAAGTTCAACAAAGGCAAGTGCAGAGTCCCACACCAGTACAGCTTGGGGGTTGACCTGCTGGAGAGCAGCTCTACAGAGAAGGACCTGGGAGGTCTGGGGGGCAGCATATTAACCATGAGCCAGCAATGGGCCCTTGTGGCCAAGGAGGGCAGTGGTATCCTGGGGTGCATATCCTACAGGTCAAGGCAGGTGATCCTCACTCTCCCCTCAGCCCTGGTTAGGCCACATCTGGAGCACAATGTCCAGTTTTGTCTCCACAGTACAAGAGGGACGTGGTGTTAATGGAGCAAGTCCAGTGTAGGGCTATGAAGATGATTAGGGAACTAGAGCATCTCTCTTGTGAGGAAAGACTGGGAGAGTTGGGCCTGTTCAGCCTGGAGAAGGGAAGACTGAGCGGGCATCTTATCAGTGTGTACAAATATCTTAAGGTCTCGTGTCAAGAGGATGAGGCCAGACTATTTTCAGTGGTACCCAGCAATAGGACAAGAGGCTACAGGCACAAACTGAAACACAAGAAGTTCTGCTTGAACATGAGGAGAAACTTCTTTACTGTGAGGGTGACTGGGCACTGGAACAGGCTGCCCAGAGAGGTTGTGGAGTCTCCTCCTCTGGAGATATTAACCTGCCTGAACATGACCTGTGTCACGTGCTCTAGGTGATGCTGCTTGTTCAGGGGAGCTGGACTAGGTGATCTCCAGAGGTCCCTTCCAACCTCAACCACTGTGATTCCCAGCACAGCTTCTCGGAGCATGCAGAGTTGCTCAGTGAAATTGATGTTCTAGTCTTACCTCTGCTAACTGTGATAGGGAGATACTAATGCCCGTGTGGCTGAGAGAGCTGGAGGAGCTGGGGTTGCTGCACAGACGAGGGAGGCGGCCAAGTCCTGCAACAAGGGCCTGGGAGGTCCCAGCCCTCCCAGGGGCAGGTTTCCAAGAGCCTGGACGTGGTTCCCTTTGAGTCCTGCCAGAAATGAGCCTCAGAACTACGATTTGAAGAAAACATTCCCTTCTTCCCTGCTGGTTTTTTTTTTTTTTTTTTTTTTTTTTTTGTGTGTTTTTGTCTAAGCAGGAATCATTCTGGCCAGTTCTGACTGCAACCTCTGTACAGCCCTGAGCGTCCCTAGTGTGGGTAAGTTCAAGCTGTTCCAGGTGTGCTGACACCCCACAGCCATTCTGCAAAGACAGGATTATGCACATCCTTTCTTATTCCAGGCTGTTCTTTTGCTGAAGTTAATGAGGTAATTTAACATGGCCTTAAATAAAAGAAATATTGTCGTCTAGTCCATTATGTTTTCTTTTCCATCTTAATAAAGTAATCCTGGTAAAGTGGACTGCTCTGCTTACAGAGAAAAAAGAAAGTCCAGAACAGCTTTTTGTTTTATGAGAGTTGTGTGGACTTGAAAAAGTGCCTAAATATAGAGGAAAGATATTGGAGGAGAAAAAAAAAAAAAGAAAAAAAAAAAGAGGATTGAGCTGTCACAGTGGAAAAATTCCCACAAGGAAATGAGTCACCTATCCGAGTGCTTTGCACAGTCATTTTCATTGCAGGTGAGGGGGATCGTCTATACCTGCACAGCAGAGCTTGGAGTTGATATGAATGTGTGAGTTTCAGGTCGTGAGTGGATGCTGAGTGTGTTGTGAGTAAGTCGACAGCGTGCAAACCTGTGCATTTGTTAGCTTTAAATAAGAAGGAGTGCTTTGGTACAAAGTGCCAAATATACAGTGCAAATGGTACTTTGGAGATTGAGTTAAAAGATAGGAAGGAGTGCTTAAAATGGTACTTTGGAGATTGAGTTAAAAAAAAGAACACCCTATCACTGATGATTTAACTTGTTCAGCTGGAATCAGGGATTGCTTCAAAGTTTTATTAGATGGCAGGACGCCATTTCAGACTGGCCATGTGCTTACACACTCGGGGTAGCTGTGCCTTGTTTTCTGCAACTGCAGCAGCAGCAGTTACTGCCAGTTACTGTGACAACTGCTGGTCCACGGAGCAGTGGGGACTGCTGAGGGGGTCTGCGGGCCTCCGCATGGGAGGTCTGGCTTGCATAACTGTGCGGTTTTTGCTGGAAAAGTTTGTTTTTCCTTATAGTTGGTGGCATGTTGTGTTTCTCAAAGTGTGGTTCTCTGTTTTTTTCCTGTACAGTTCATTGGTGTTTGTATACTGTCATGTGGGTCGTTGAAAAAAACTTTTTCGGAGGTCGAAATGAATCGCTGCCTACCTGCACTTCTTAAGACTCGTGGCTGAGAGATTTTGTTAAAAGGGAAGTCTGCAAAAGTCCCTGAGTAGAACTAGAGATACCAAAAATATCCTTCCCACTAAATCTATCTAGGTGTTGCCACATGTGTGAATGCAAGCAAATAAACAACAGTTAAATAAATCTTAGATACCTGCTACAGATGAAACAAGAAAATGTGAATGTTTAAGTAGGTAAATATCTGAAAACATAAAAACGCACTCCCTTGTGATTCCATGCTTTCTCTTGTAAGTTTTAATAAAGGACCTTTCATACAGTAGGAACTTTGCTGACAACTTGGAGTAATTTTTAAATACTTGTGGTACTGTGTTGCCGGAAAAGCAAACGCTAACCTAGGAGACAGCAGTAGCCGTTTCCTAATTTGTTTTTTTTCTCATTTCTGTAAAACACTCTGTGGGTCCATAATCAGGTTACACTGAGGCTTGGTCTATTCAAGTTGGAGAAGTGCTTCGGTTTTAAAGTTTGTTTCGGTAGACAAAGTACAAAGTACTCAGGTGTTTGTACTCAAATAGAAAGTGATACCAAATACGTAGTTTATTTATCAAATACGTTCAAGTTACAAGCTAAAGAATCAATTCGCTCAGGTCACCTAGAGAAAATATATATAGGAAAAGTTAACTGACTGCACACTATTATTTCCCATCATGTTGTCTTCTTCACTGACTCTGTTGTACCATGTTTCATTATGGTCAGGAGAAAACTGAAGAGATGTATTTAAAGCAAAAGTTTGGCTTTTTTACTGTTATTGTGTTGTTTTCTTGCTAAAATTGTGTGTTTTCTTGGACACTTCACTGGTGAAAGTGTAGTTGGACTGTGGCTCTGCATGCTGCCGTCATAATTGTGCTTTCCAGGAAATGTCCTTTACCTTTGTCTTTTTTTTTTCTTTTTGTTTTGTAACTCTCTTTCAGAATTCCCCACTCTACCAGTATCTGCAGGATCTGGGACACACCGATTTTGAAGTATGTTCAGCTGTGTCGCAGAAGGCAGAGCAATGTGCAGCAGAAGGAGACCAACAGGAGTGGACCACTCATGCTGCCCAGAAAGTGAGCGTTCTCCTGCTCCGTGCATTTATCTTCCCAAAGGATAGCTGCAGCGTTTCACAAATAGGAAAAATCAGAGAAGATAAAGATTGAAGTGTTACTATACAAAACAATAGTGGTTGCCATATCTTATTTGTTAATGTATTTGGAAACATAGTCTACCAGTGTAGTCTGAAATATTTCTCTGTGTTCATGTAAGCTAGGACAGCAATAGACTGTTATATTCAATTTTTAAGTAGTTTTAAGTTATATTATTTACTGGGTATTGTTATGTTTTCTTAGCATGGCACTCTGTGAAGAAGACCTGTAATTTTGTGGAAGAAAATGTTTATAGTTCCCAGCTCTTCTCAGGCATTTGATTGTTAAATACCGCTTACATTGTGACTAAGCATTTGAAGAATGAAGATTTCTGGGAAGTATAAATAAATAACTAATCTGAATGAGATAGCAGAGCTGTGGTTAGGTTGTGGAAATGTAACAGTTCAGCTGATGAGCATCCTCAGCTGATTAGCTCAGACTGTTTCTCTTTCTTTTTAAATGTAGGCTTGTGGATTTTTCTTTTATTATTTTAGTATTAAAATTATCCTAGAGAATTAAGAGCCTGAAGAAATTCTAAAAAAAAAATCTTACAGCCGTAGTGTGCCTATTTAAGACATACTTTGAACTACACATTTTTTGTTTTCCTTGTTAAAAAATAAAGGATAATCTACCTCTGTTAAGAATGTATAGGCCTTGTGAATCACATGAGGAGGAATCACATGGATCAGGAAATTCCTCTTTTGTCCTAGTTGTTGCAAGAATCTCTTTGCTGATCCTAAAAGTGAGAAGTGTATTGAAAAATCAGTAGTCGGTTTATCTTCTTAGCACCTAGATGGAGCATGCAAAGAGCAGTTATTTTCTGCCTACCTCTTTCTCTTCCACAGTGGAGAGTTGTGTTTTCAGTGGCCATGCTCCAGCTATGTGCTAAGCCAGGAGGAAAAAAGAGGCCTTCATGCAGACTGCTCTGTCCAGGCCACTGCAGGCTGTAGGGGGGCCCAGAACCAAACAGGTAAGAACCTAAAACAAGAGTTCATAGACTGACTTGTTGCCTCCCAAAAACAACCTTTCTCTCCTCTCCCTGCCACTTGATCCTTGCTCACTGTGGCTTTTAACTTTCTTCTAGAGATCATTTTTTCCTTACGTGTGTTTCTGCTTTGTACCTCTTCTGCCACCCTCAAATTAGAGTTTCACCACCCCTTTTCTCTCATAACGACTGCTGCTTCCCTGCTTCTGTTCTAACACCTTCTACCCTCCCAATTAGTTGGCAGCAAACTGTAGGGCATCCTATTTCTTCCCCGGATTAGGTGAGATGGTGTGAAAGGCTGCACTCTGCATGTGTGTGTGTGGAGGGGGGTCACACGGCAGCTGGGGTGAGCTCAGTGATGTCACTTCTGTTAGGATCTTTTCTCAAATAATGCCACCTGGATGTTTACCCACTACTTGGTCCTCAAGACATTTCAAGGAATTATCCTTGGAAGAGTCACAGGCTTTAATGGCTAGTATTCACAATAGATTTATTTTGACAAAAAGAAATCAGTTTTATGTGTGTTTTCCTTGCTTTTCCCTTGTTTTCAATCATACGAATTTTCTTTCTCAAAGACATCTTGTGCTTTAAGTCAATAGTCTCTTCTGGTATGCAAGGCAGTCTATTCTACTCTGTGTAGGATCTTTCCTGGGGCAGAATTTGGAAGTGTATGAATTGATGCGGAGAATATCAGTCTGAGATTTCTTTTTCTTTGATCTGGGAGAAGAATGTGTTGTTCTTGAAATTTTTATAGTAGTATGGTGCACATAGAAGGACCAATGTACACAGTCTCCGAAGTGAAAATTTACTAGCTGTTGTATGAATCTTATTCATCCAGCAGTATTCCGGGAAGTGTTCGTGCATCACATTTTCATACAGTGCTGTCCATTTTAGCTACTCTCTGTTTAGACTACATGAGGTTCATCACACATTCATTTCCATTGGAAAAGAAAGGGAAGTAAAATATGAAATGCTTTGCGGTGGTCTTTGGTCCTTTTTCATTATCTTTGCGTAGACAGGTCAGTCATAACTTGCTTGTAATCATCTGGTAGGGCAGGTAGATGGGCTGCTTTGCTTCACAGCCCTGGTCCAAAGTTGCAGGAACTTGGAGTGCTATGGAGGTGCATCATATCTCCCTTGCCTTCATGCCTCACTTTCCCATCAAAGATGACTTTGTAGAGAAGATAGAGACAAGGTGCAAATAAATTGAGCAGGCCTGTGATTATCCCTACATGAACATTGCCCATGGGATAAAGAGAATCTGTGGTGCTGCTGTTTAAAGAGTAACCATACGGTAGGAAGCATTCCTGAATTTTATAATGGTATTCAGCCCTGCTCATGTAGTATTAAAATTTTTCAAAAGCCTCAAATATTTTTCCCTCCCTTGCCCTTGAGCATTTTACTCTTAATTTTATTATGTTGGGAGCAAGTCCTCTGTCTTTGTGTCTGCTGTGGAAGTAATTCATCATGATTTTCTGTGTAACTTGAAGGCAGAGCGTGTGTGAAAATGGGTTGTCCATTTCTTAAAAATAGTCGGATGACGTTCATGTTGTCTCATCTCAGTCTAGACAAGAATACATAGGAAAAAAAATAAAACCTACGTGTAATTTGAAGCTGAAAAATGTCATAGATTCTTCCGGGTTGGTTCTAGTATTAGTTTGAGAACACTGAAACTTTTCTTTGGTGTTCTAATGTCAGAAAGTCAGATTTTGTCCTTTGATTTCTGTTTCTGTGTTCCTATTTGGTAGAGTGCCTCAAAATGAAAGGGAATGAGGGAGAGGCAGCTGACTGTACGTGTATAATAGAAGATTGGATTAAGGAGAATATGAGGCTCTGTTGCAACTTCTGTGACATACAGTCAAGACATTTAGTTTCACAATAAGTCATTTCCTCATTTTCAGTTGAGACCATTATCACTTCCCATTTTGCACCCTTTGCTGGCCTAATCTACTCAAATTATAAAATGTCTGGGAAACAGATGGTTTGAGTCACGTGTCCAATATAATATGATGTTGATTGAGGTTTAGGGTAACTCCAATAACATAATCACAAGGATTGGAAGAATGTTCCACGCTGAGTGATACCCAGTATATATGTATTATTTTATGTTCCGAAGAGTAAAATATCCCAAGTGTTTAAGGCATTTGCAAATTTAATGGTAAATGCAGTTAAGACCAGCAGCAGATCCAATGGAAGTTTTGGCTTTCTTAGGTTGTCATGGTCCATTTATCACTCCATGTTTTCTACTAGATCCCAAGCACTCTGGCATCTGAAATGATAAATAATATTCTTTTCCTCAAGGGGTAATTAACTCTCTAGCGAGAGCATCCTATTCAGTGACCTTTTTTTTTCTTTTTTTTTTCTTGCCTTCCTACTGTGTGTCTGTTCTTTTGGATGCAGGACTCTTTCTGACTGGAAAAAGCTCCAGAAGAGATAAGTCAGATTCTTTTTTTTCTACCTAGACTGTCAGCTGACTGGTAATGGAAAACTCCTATTAGGAAATCTGTAGTATTCCCATGTCTCTTAAAAAGAGCTGAGATTGGTTTCTCCACTTGTATTCAAGGAGGAACCCTGGTCAGATATGATCTTGTGAGATGCAGCAGGAGTTTGGCAAGGCAAGGATCTTGTTTGGACCTCAAGGACTGGGAAAACAGTCCCTGATCCTAGTGACTGATCCAAGTGTTGCTGCTGTTTCCTGCCTAGCAGTGTGTAGGATTCACGCTGAATGAAAGATGCAGATATAAACTGAGCTTCAAGCGCATCTTTAGCAGGGTCTTTTTGTAATGAAAGTATGGCCTTAATGGACATGGAGATGAAAACTGTAAAAGTGCTTCAAGATTGTGTTTTGATGACTGATGAAGTGCCACTCTTCCTTCTGAGGCAGTAAGAGATATCATTTAGTGTGGTAATGATAGGTATTATGTCCATGACTGTACCAATCTCTGGTGAATGTTATGCTCTGGATCTTGTGATCTCTCGTTGTTCAGAAACACTGTTTGCAAGAGTTGCAAATAGCAGACCTGTTTTTTTGTAGTTAAAACCTAATTGGATAATTCTGCTTGACCTTTAAGGTATTTACTTCATCCCATTTATATTTTTCCCTTTTCCACTCATTTGGTAGACTACTATGTGCATATGAAAGATCTGTTGGGTTATAGTGTCACATCTTATCTCACTTTAGATGTGATGATATTTAATCACTGCATCAGGGCTGGTGCTGCAAACAGCTACTGCAGGTTGCTGTTGGGGCCATCCCTTGGTAGTTGTGCAGGTGACCTGGTGGGGAGAAGCAGAGGGACCATTTCTTTGCCTTCATCTACGGCTCCCACTAATCTAATCCTGGGAGCTACTTAATATGTATTTAATATGTAGTATTATCTTGTTTCTGAAGTGTACAGAGTAGAGAGATGCTTTATGCATGATGCTATTTTAGATACCTGCTCGTTTGCCATTTCAGGCTCATCCTGTACAAAAGAGAAATATTCATAAGCATTTTGTTTTAGGTTCAAGTGCATATTCCTAAAATGTGCAGTTCCTGTGCTATAGGCACTTAACGCTTTTTTGTTTTTTAATATTTGAAGGTGTATGCCTTTATTATCCAGTGTACAGAGAGCTTATTTGCCTGACTTGTGTTGTAAAGCTGTAAAATGAACACGCCAGAAGCATCAGCAACATGACCCGACTTGTGTGGTGATGAAAGTTGTTTTACTTGTCAGTAACACTCCCGATGGGAACACAAGCTGTGAGACACTCTTCCAAAGATCTGAATAATTCAGTATGTTACTGTACACTACTGGGTCACAGCCCAAGACAGTAGGTTGTCTTGCATTGTGTTTTCAAGCACTGGCATGCCTGGTGAGTGTTTATGCAAGCTCAGATTTTTATTTTTAAACCAAAACATGAGCTATAAACCAAAAGATTACTTACTAGCACATTAGTCCGTATTTATTTCCAGCGGTTCCATGGACTGATTTAATTAGCTGGTGGCAGTATAAAAATATTTGTGGCATAGACTTAAATGCTTTTTAGAGAAATCGAAGAACTTGAGATGTCTGAGCAATTGAAAACGTTAGGCTCCGTTTCTGTAATCCACCTCCAAAACACACGGAAAATAGTTCTGAATGAAGTGTCTGTTTGTCACTCAAACGTAGGACGAGGACCTCTTTTCACTTCAGACCAGTTTTTCTACAAACTGTAGTGGGAACATTTTGTTTTATTTTGCACCACTTTACAGGAGACTCTGCCTTGGAAGATGACCTAGGGTGCAGCTTGTGACACATTTTTCTCTTCCTCTTCAGACTTATGCAAGTGCCTCTGAGCAAGAGCAAACTCTTTTCTCAAGCAATGGAAGAAAATCTTGTTTTTACCTTTTCCTATCCTTACTAATAGCAATGATAGAAATTAGTGCTGGAACAGGCCTTCTAATTTAGCAATACCTTATCCAGGACTGCTCTAGAAAATATATTCTTCAACACATTTGAAATCATTCCTTGGGTTTATTCCACACTGTAAGAAGTGTTGATTGCTGGGATAGCTTCTCTCCATAAGCTGTGATGATATCTGTGTACCCAGGAGAACTGTCATTATGAAACCTGTAGTATTGGTTTGTTTCTCCACTGACCTAAAAAAATACTTTAGGCATAGGTGTGTAATTCTAACTGTACACAGAAGGATGAGGCGTATACAAAGGAAAACTCAAGCTAGGTTACCTAAATTAATTATTTTTGAAATTGTTCTGTGAAGCAAAAAAGTTTTAGGATGATCATTTCTGATGGTATTCAAAGCCATTCTGCCTTGGCTTGCTGCATCAAACTCCTGTCATACTTTCAAAGGGACATCAAACAGGTAGTCTGGTTCTTTTACCTCCAGTCCCTGCCCTGACACTAAGCACAGAGTCCCATAATTCTGATGCTCCATCTCATTCTCCTGTTTTCAAGCTCATAGTTGGAGCCCTGATGGAGAACTCTGTCTTGCCTTTCCCACACAGCTGCCCTGGAAGCATTTCTGTAGTTCAGACTGGAAAATGTTTGGACCTGGTATTGCAGAGTTGAGAACCTTGGTGGTGGTTTCTCTGGGGAAGACTGTCTCTACAGCCACGCGCGTTAACTTTCAGTTTAATAGTTCTCTTGCTTAAAAAAAATGAAAAAAGGAAGATGTTTATTCACTACAAACACCTTTACAGGTTAGATTTTTGTGATCGGGTTATTTTTTGAAACCATATGCCAAAAAAACTAAGCGCTCGACATTTCAGTTGTTTGATATGCATTTCAATTGGTTGTATCCCCTGAGGGCAATTTGAAGATTAAGAGATAGGGTCTCAGAATTCATAAAACATATGTAAGTAAATATTTTGAAAAATACTTCCTGTCAGCTCAGTCTGAGAAAAATAGATATGCAGTGTATCAAAAAATCCTTTTTTTTTGGCACTAACTGACTGCAGAACCATCATGCATCCATTCAATCATTGCCTTTCATGCACTGTGTTTTAGAAAGATCCTTAGGTAAAATGTGTGATGATGGAGAGAGAGTCCATCTTAATTAGTAATTTTCAAAATTAAGTGTACAGCTCAGATGAAAGTCTGGATTTAGGTTGAAACAGCATGGAGAGATGCTTATGTGACACGGTGTTTTGGGGGCAATTTCTGTTCTTGTCATCCCTCTTCCCTGCCTCTGTTGACTCATCTTCTGGAGTCTCACCTCAAGCCGTGGAGTTCTATAGATGAGGAACCTGGTAAAGTGGTTCCTCATCTGGTCTTTTACTTCTCTTCTCTCATCTCTGTCAGCCATTTAACTTCACAGCAGTTGCCAACCTGAGATGAGGCTAATCCTCTCTGTCTTTATTTTTAACTGTGTAAAAGTGTGATTACACTTAGACTAGGTGGGGTTAATGAAAGCTTTATTTCACATTGTCATGTACAGGCAAGCTGACCAGAAGCAGATGTTGCCTTAGCGTACTCTGAAGTTAGGCCAGAGAGAGTAAGTGAAACTTCCTTACAGGTACTTGTGTCTTTGAGTTTACAAGAGAAGCAAATGGATAAAAAAAGGAATTGTTTGATTTTTATTTATATTTTGCTTTGGTTTTTAATCAGAATAATTTTTGTTCCCTTCAGCAAGGCATCCTGTCAAAGCTAGCTGAGGTCTTTAGAAGTTGGTTTCCTTTTCCACAGTATAAGAAAAATGATGACATACTTCACCGACTGGTAAGTGTTTACTTTTTTTTTAATTTCCGTTCCTAATCCAGATATCTTCTTTTCCTTTGTACCTCGTCCCCAGAGCACTTCCTTGGCCTATATTTGCTGGTTTGGGTTCTAAGAAGTTTGCTTATTTTTCAGATAACATAATTGACTTTAGCCACTATAGTTTTCAGAAAATTGTGTCAAACAAATTGGTCACAGAGTAAAAGGGGAAAAATATCAGTAGTCAGATTAAAGTAGTTCAAAATATGGAAGAGGTTGTGAAAAATTAAAGAAATTCTTGAAAGCTGAAGAGTTAATGTATACTGGAACTGCACCGTGCAGTGGAAGGCTGTGCAGAGACCCTGAGCCATTAAGTCCATATGTTGCAGTCCTTCCAGAGCCTTGCAGACACAGCTCAAGACAGAAGGATCTAGAGCTTCGTGTGAATATCATTTCACCATCGCTTTCAGCTTGTTAGCCTAGGCAGGGTGCCAGGCTTGCATAGCTGTTCTGCCCCACAACCTAACCTGGCTCATGTGTTTCTGCACGGCTCTCCACAGTGCTTTTGCATTTGGGAAAAGCACTGATGAAAACTCAGCTAAGACATCTCCATTATAATGCTTCAGAACAACTATGCGGATAACATCTTTCTGGTTTGACTCTGGGGAGAGGGATGAACAGTTCTCTGTATTCCCTGTGCACTCAGCAGTTCAGAATGACATTCAGATGTCCCTCTGCTTTGCCAGAAGTTTTCTTCTCTACTCCCAAGAACTTCTAGGGCACAAGTTGATCTGTGTGGGGGTAGACCCAAAGGGTGACAGTAGAAATATGAGGTAGTTAGAAGCAGTTTTATGCTGCCTTTATGTCTGTTCTCTATGGAGCCCCTTTCTAGGCAGTTCAGATTCTAGCTTAGGCTACTCTGAGTTCTCCGAACTTGCGCCCAGCTGCTTCTGGTTCCTGGTCTTGTTTACAATAGTTATAATCTAAGAGCATCTAGGTATACCTTTATCTTGGGTTATGTCCAATGATACATGGATGGTCCAAATCCAAATGAGGATGCTCTTTCACTGAAGAATTTCCCAGTGGGCCTCCGGCTTTGTGACTCTGCAAAACTTGATAAATGGCACACATTAATGTGGAGAAGATACAGTCCATGTTTGCTTTTCTTGGAGACAGCATCTGGCTAGCCCAGATATACAAAACCTGTTTTGACCCCGCTTTTTATATCATTTTCATTTAGATACGTCATATTAGTCAGAGTGTCCCAGAATCTGAAGAGCTGGAAGTTTGGCCTTTTTCTACTGTGATATAGGAATGCTGTGTTCCAGTGTAGTTTCAAAAAATAAAATGTCAAGCCACGTGAGACATTAGAGTTTTCCATTTCTCCGAGAGATGTGCCAAATCTAATTGCTAATCCTTCACCCTTATCTCAAGAAAACAAAATTTCCTCTGAATCTCTTCAGTGTGCTGAAGTATCTACTGAAGAGATTCAGTATACTGAATAGTACTGTACTCTTCCCCTTGAAGTAAAGCTATTATCTTACTTTCTGCCATGACCAAAGAGTAAGGAAAACATGTTTCTCCTGCCGCACACTACAGTGGGTTACTGAAGTGGCACAGGATATACTGGAGGAGGGCTGAGTTTCCTCTTGAACACAGTTCTGAAACAAAACTTTTTCTGTAAATGCAGAATGCAGATTATCCACAGTGACATCAATGTATGGAATCAGATTTTGAACTAGCTAGTTTACTCTTTTATAAGGAATTTTGGAGAGGATTTTGTACTGTGAAATTTCAAACTTCTGTTAGCAACTCCTATCAGAGGGAGCTGTATTATAGAAACATTTGTCTTTCCCTCCTGTAATCTCACTAGACACAAAGATGCACATGTTCAGTGTTTGTTGGGTTGTGTTATGATATTTTTAAACTGAAATGTTTTGTAATTATAGTTTGCTGTAATATGCAAATTAAAGTTTCAGAGGCCTTCTCTAATGTGTGTGTTTGTGTTCAGAAGCTGTGTATTTGTCTTGAAGAGCTGTAGCTATAAGGAAAAAATAGCAAACGCTTATGACAACATCAGATCCAAGAGTAACTCCCTGAACTTTGTCTTGAGTTTGCAAGTGTGAGGTCTCCAGTGAGGTCTCCAGGGTCCCATGCTATTTTCTGTTTTTTATGTTTGAAATCAAGTTCCCTTGGGAAAGGTCATAGACTTGCGCAGGAGAGAATTTCCCTGCGTTGTGGGGAACTTGAGTCCAGCTCATTGACCCCACTGTTATTAAATAGGCTATAGCTGACTTTTGTAATATCTCTTTTCCTTTTTTTTTTTTTAGTTTGCTATTGCAAATACTAAAAAGAAAACATTATTTTAGTTTGATTACAAATCTTCTAATAGATTCAGTAAAAAAAATGAGGTGGCTGGTTAGGATGTAACTAAAATATTCCTGGGATCTTCTGGAAGAGACAGTTTTGTGTGAAGAATAGAAGGTCTGGGTGGTTTCTTTAGTCTAACAACTTAATCTTAAGAATGTGCATATTCTCTATTAATGTCTGTTTTTCTTTTGTCCATTTTTGTTAAGGATGTTGGATTTCGGTGTGACACACTCCGTACCATCCTGCAGCAGGAAGTTCTGCTGCAGGAGGATGTGGAACTGATTGAGTTGCTTGACCCGAGTATCCTGTCTGCAGGGCAGTGCAGGCAACAGGAAAATGGACAGCTTCCAACACTGCGCTCCCTAGCAACTCCTAATATTTGGTACTGTATATAACATGTGTACGACTATATTCCCATATTCCCTTAGAAGCAAGAAAAATGATTGTCTTCTTGGTATAAAATGCCACAGAAAGTAACTGTTTTTGTCTAAGGTCTCTGAGTATTGATTTCACCCTGGTCCATTAATCCCACATTTTGGATAAGTATGTTTTTTCCTTGGACATTGTGTTGAAAAAGTAGGTTTTAATCTAAGGTAGTTACATGAGCATGAATGGATACTTGCAAACCCTTATGAAGGAAAAAGTAACATGGCTGATTTAATTTCAAAAGCTATGTAGGGGGGATTTGGAAGTGGATATTCCATTGAAAAGTATCTGACTAAATTTGTATTAAATTATTTAACCTTGTTTAATAATTTGCTAAGCGATCTTCTGTTAGTTTTCTGAGTAAAGGGAAGTCTCAGTTTAACCCCCGCCTGGGTAGTGATCATCTTCCACATTCCATTTTAATCTATTTGTGTAATATTATAGTGACAAGTGTGATTGGAGTACCTACATCCTGTACATACACACACATACACACACACTATGACACTATCACTCTTTTTAAAATATTTTGATTATATAACTAAGAGACTGCTACAATACTCAAATGGACCTGCTAAGGTAGCTCTAATAACTTAGAACCCTTAACAACAGAGAAGGGAGGCAGAAACATCAGATATCAGTTGTGCTGTCTTTGTGTCCTCTTAATGTCACTAGGCACTTTTGTTCTCTGCACCGGAATTTGGATGAAGGCGATTAGAAATATAAAGAATAGAGCACATAATACTATGTGAAGAAGAATAGTAAATCACAGTGATTCAAATATTTAGTATTCAGTGTCAGCTTTGGTGTGGTCTTTATAAGACACGTTAATTGTGCTTAGAGCAATTAATTTCACAGCTGTAGAATGCCAGAACAGACTAAACATTGAAATAAGATACATTTAGGTTATTAGAGGCTAGTGAAATTCACCCTAAAATGCTCAGGGATTTCACTGCAGCAGTATCTAAACAACTATTTCCTGTATTGTAGAATTAAGAAGGGCGGTGGGTGGTCTTGGCAGAGTGACTTGCTCAGGAACAGACAGGAATCAATAGGGAGATGGTTTGTCCTGGTCCTCCCACTATCCATTGTTTCATTTACTGCACTTAGCAAATTTGTGAGTATCACTCCGTTTACAGATGTCACCAGGTTTTCACCCATTTTAGCAGATTCAGAAGGATGACAAATTAGAGAGTTATTTTGAAATCGATAGGAAGGTCAATAAAGACAAGTGTGTAGTGCTGTGCTTCAGAAGGAAGAATTAAATAAACGAATACAAAGTGGGGAGTAATTGAGTAGAGCGTACTGCTTCAGAAAAGGATCTGCCCCTTACAGTAGAGCAGAAATTGAATGAGATGGGAAATTATTCCAAAAATGGGAAATCTCATGCTTGAATCCTTGTTATATGCAAACACAGGATTATACTTCTCTGTCTTCTTCTCTGCCAGGCTGGAGCATCTGTTTTTGGATGCCACATGCTGAGAGGTTTAGGTAGTTTACACAGAGGCCAAACAGAGCCATAAGAATAAGGGATTTGGAAATTAGAGCCTTTTGGGGAATGTGTGAGGGAGCTAGGATTGTCTGGCCAAAAGGCCGAGGAAGCGGAGGAACATCTTAGGATGCACACAAGGTAGTTAATAAGAGGGTGGTGATCAGCCATTATCCATTCTGTGGCCAAAAGGGAAGGATATGAGGAAAAAAAAAATTAGCTTCATTTGCCAGTGATTCACATTGAACTTGGGAGAAATCTGCACCATGAGGATCTGAAAGATTTATATGATCTGAAGAGAAACCGGAGTATAGTTAGGCACTGGCACAGCTAACCGAGTGGCTTAGGGAATCTTCATTTTCTCCTTTTTACAGTTTGTTGGAGATGGTCTAGATTAACTGAAATTGTCTCAAAACTGAAATTTGACCAACTGATCTGTTAAATCCCTTCCAGTCCTTCATTTTTTATGATTTTTTTTTTCAACCGCACCAAGGAGTTTGTGGAAAAATATGAATGCTATACAAATGAAAGGTTCTTTCTTGTCTGGAAAAGATTTTGTTTATAGCATTTTTCTCTTAGGACTGTGTCTGTCCTTTCTAAAGTTTGTCATCTTTGGAATGTTTTAACCTTGGGCTTTTACTGCAACTGATGAGTACCAATGAAGAGTTTATTCTTGTAAAGCTTATTGAAACATGCCTACAAAAGTATCCAGAATCTTAAAGTCTAGCAGTCATTTTTGCTTTGGAAATCTGGAAATGTTCTTTGCAGATATTTTCAAGAGCAAGGATATAGGATTCACAGCTTTAAAGGGTGAAAAAAGATTTTTCTATTAAAAATATTTTAAATAATACTCTTTCATGCCTTGAAGCTCTGTCCCCTTCATTTTTGCCAAGACTGTAATAATTGTAGTTTTACAAAATTGCTGTTATAATACTAGGTGTAAAGCACAGTTTATTTTCTAGCAATCATACATTGTTATTGCATCTTTCTAAAAGAAAATAAAACCTTTATGAAGTTTTAAAAATGTCCTTGAGAAACAGTTGACAAGAGACTGAAGTGACTCTTGTTTGTTCAGGGTTTTTAAAAGCCAGCAAGTTATTTAGAATGATTAATGAAGATGTCTTTCTTAGAATGTGTTCAAAAAATAGTGATGTGTTGGTGTCAAAGTTAAATGACTCAGAATCTGGAAAAAAATAAATCTGTCATTGCTTGGGGATTTCGTTACCCAAAAGAAACATGCCCTTTGCTACTGTCCTCTTGAACCTGGAAATACAGATATTCCAGTTTCTATCCACCCTTGCTTGAAATGCTGAGTAGGGACTTTTTTAAAGTCATATGTATAAAATGGCCTGCCAAAATGGTACAAAAAAAAAGTAATATAATGTGTACTAACCAATAATGTCATGCATTTTATATCTAAATCTACCATTTAGGTGTTGTTTTTGGTATTTACAGCTCCCTTCAGAGTCTGCCTGAGAGCTCCATATTAAAATCTCAAATGTCGTACTCAAATGCTTGATGCTCTTCCCACTCGTTTCGCCTCAGGAATGTGCGGGTGATGCTGCTTTCTCTCTCTGCAGGGACGTCTCGCTGTTGCTGGCCTTTGTAAGCGCCCTGCTGGTGCTTCCTTCGTGGTGGGAGGACTCGGCGTGGCTGCTGTGGGCGCTGGTGCTGCTCGTCTACGCCACCCTCCGGGTGTGGGGCACATGGAGGACAGCCAAGCTGCAGATGGCCCTGCGGAAGCACTGCCTGCAGCTGGAGGAAACGGTGGCAAACAGCCGAGCTTTCACTAATCTTGTGAGAAAAGCGCTGCGGCTCATCCAAGAGACTGAAGTCATTTCCAGAGGATTTACCCTGTGAGTCTATATTTTGCTTTAATACATACATCCATTCAAGCCAGATGTCTTCTAAAATGGTGCCATTACACACAGCGAGGGGAATTACTGTGAAACACAACACTTAAAGCTTCTCACTTTTGTGGAATAGTGTAATTGCCATTGTTATATTCGTCAACATAAGGTGTTAAAACTGTGTGTCCTGGAGGAGAACTAAGTCTCCCAACATTATCTGAATTGGGCAACTAACCCTTTTGAAAGTCTTCTCCAGTGCTATTGGTGAAATAAATGAGTCAAATGGACTCTGAACCAAGTTAGTTAGCATTTTTCAGGAGCTGTTTTTTTAACAACTTACCAAGTCAGTGTAAATAAACTGCAAGTATTAATTAATATTTTAGTATACAAGATGAAAACCAGTTTTATTTAACAAATATTATTCCAAGTAATGCGAGTACAGTAAGCAGACCATGAAAGGTCATTTCACCCCTTGGAGAAATTTTAAACATTTATTTTTCTTGCATACAATTGTTGAGATATTCAGAACCTTCAATTATTTGCTGTTGAATTTGCCTCTCTGCACTTACAGGATCAGAGAGTGTCCCTAGTTATTGAGCCCTATGGCTAATTGCGTGTTCGCTGTGTTGTAGACACTGGGACGTGCCCAGCATGTGCATTGATCCTACAGGCAACAGCCCCACTCGGGAGCAGTCTCACTGCCAGGTGTCCTTTTCCCTCGGAGCAAGTTACTGTGAGAAAAGTACCTGAGCCAGTTAGACCTGAGGTTAAAGGAGGTGAGAAATGCCAGTACCTAAAATCCAGTTGGCTTCTTTCTGAAAACAATGGAATTTCCCCTATATGCACCAAGAGATTCTTCCGTTCATGCCAGATCAACTCTCCTGCTCTCCAGCACATGTTGTTACATGCAGGCTGGAAACTGTACACTTCTTATTTTGAATTAACTTTCTAGCTTGAGATACCTTCATTAAGCTTTTCTGAAGAAATGTTTTATTCTCCCTTTGGAATGTGTAAGCATGTCTTAAGTCTGCCTGGCTGTTTTTTGTTGTTTTTTTTTTTTTTGATTTGCTGAGGAAGCATATTGTTAAGCAATAGTCAGTCTTATCTTTGCAAACAGATTCTTAAACGAAATTATTGTTAGGGCTTGTCCGAATTACAGATGAGAAAAATATTTGGATTTTTTCCTAGGCTTAAGCAAATGAACTTGTGGTCAGTGTCTAAATGGCTAGTTCCTTGTTCGTTTACAGCATATCTTAGATAACAGATTAACAAAAAACAGACTGTCTATAAGCTGGTGCTTGATCTAGTAGCCCCTTCATTTAAGACTCCGGCAAGCTTTTCAAGAGATTGTGGAGTATGGATGGAGTGGGAGAAGTCCAACTGTGCCAGCCTCCGCATTGGAATAATTGTCCAATACAAAGAAGACTCCACAGGTTTTGATCTGGTTTAGCATGGGCGAAGTTCTAAGTCCAGGGAGCCCTCTTCTGCATCTATGTATGTAAGAGATGTGGCTGTGCAGGACAGGGAATTCTTTGCATGAGATAACACTTCATGTATCATCCAAAAAGGTAGTTGCTCCTTCCAGATTTTTGCTGCAGTAAATCTCAGCAGAGCAAAGTTTAGTATATCTCCAGTGATCACCTTGTCAAAGTCTTCGTGGCTATTCAGAGAGTGTCATGTGGCACTGGAAATGGCGGTGCCTGAAAAGTTGGGGTATCATCTTGTACCATTTTCGGAAGGAATTTTGTGTGGGATTTCAAGCAGATAGCAGAGTACTCCGCGCACGGATATGCACTCTGCTCTTTCAGTATGCTGTTAGCTCTGCATGATCTGGACTCCGCATAAGCCAGGGAATGAATGGAAAGATACCTCAGCTGACATTTAAATATACTGAGTCCAGAAATAGGGTAGTTGTGCTCACACTAAACTCTCTTTATCAAAACTCCGGGTAAGCTTTGGTCTAAAGCTCCCTGCCTACATCCCACAGCAGTCTCTTCTCTCCATTGCACAGTCCATTGCTACATTCTCATAGCTTAACTTATACAGTTGTTAAAAGATCAATGGCTTTGCTTTATTCTATACCCTTTGCCCTTGATTTATTGATATTTGACTGTCTATTAACAGTAAATTACTCTCCACAAGAATTTGGTCAATTCTCCCTTGTTTAATCCATTACAACATGATTTTGCCTTCACGTCTTCCCCTTCCACCCCCAGAAAGCACAACAGCCGCTTAGAAAGGAAACCAGCAACCACTTCTGGCCTCTTTTACCTCAGTTGCTGTCCAAAGCAACCCACCATTCCAGTCCCAGGTCGGCCGTCAGAGCTGCCTGGCGCTGCCCTTGTCCCAGAGGGTTGTGTGCGGCCGGGCAAGGAGCCCGGGCGCTCGGGGGTCCCCGCGCGGCGGGAGCGGCCTGCTCGGCAGCGGCGCCGTCTCCACAGCTCCGCGTCACGCAGGGAGCCCCCGGCACCCCGAGCTCCGCAGGCCCAAGACGGGGAGGTCCTTGAACACCGGAGGCGTCCTGAGGCAGCGAGCAGAAAGCGGTAAAACGGAGAAAGCAGTATTTTAGTGAAGTGGAAAGATTGCTTCTTCCTGTTTTGTGTGTTATACGCAATACTGGTAACGCTTGGTAAGGCCGGTTACGGTAAATAGGAGATAAAAGAAATACTAGGAGGGATGTGGCATGTCTGTCACGCAGAAACTTACACTATATTACATTAGTTTAACGATACTGGAATAAAGAAGTATTTTATAAATACCACTGAGGCAAACCTTCCCGAAAGCAAAACAAATTGTTTTGCTAAGTACTGGCATTACACACACGTGTGAGTTGTGCAGTATTTGTTCTGCAGAGAAGCTGGAAATGCAATCTCAGAACAGAGATTGGTTTCTCTTTTTCATAGTAGAATAGTTTTGCTTTTCTTGTTTGGACCTTCAGACCCAGACCTTCGGACCCAGAACCTGAGTCTACAAACCGACATGAGAGTCTATGTGTGAACTTTTGCAACTGTTAGTTACCTTCTAAAGCTAGGAAATATTCGAGGTTGACATGCACATGCTCTGTTCCCAAGTGGAACTTATGGCATGACTAGCACTTTAATATTGTTAAATTTCGAGACTTAAATTAACACCATTTTTTTGTATATATTTTAAAATATTCAGTTTATGAACAGAATGTTCATGTTTATGAAATGTTATGTAAATTATTTCAATATCACTTTGTATTTTGGCATGCTCTAATGATATTTTAGTGTAGTGTGGGGATATTTTAACTTGTGGATTTAGTGTGTAGCTATTTGGCATAATCCTCCTTTGCATTAAGCTACCGCATACTCTGATAGAGGCCCAGCCTTGCTAACTGGGGGCACGGCGCTGCTTTTCCTCCTCAGCAATGGGAGGCCATAAGCTCTTCGCCCTCCCAGTCAGTGCACAGCACGATCAAGCTGAATTTATGCAGTAGGACCAGCTCTCCAGCAGTGCCAGCCCTGCTGGCTTAGTCAGCTCTCCATTCAGATGGAAGAAGGCTTTTCTTCTTTCTTTTTCCTTTTTATCCTTTTTTCTTTTTTTTCTTTTTTCCTTTACTTTTTTCTTTCTTTTCCTTTTTTCTCTTTTCTCTCTCTTTTTTTTTTTTTTTTGGGTGCCTGAGTACACAAAGTCTCATCCATATCTCATGCCAACAAATGTGGCAACTGGCGGAGCAGGCTGCTCCTCCCCTGGCAGTTCATCAGTCCTGTTACCCACACCGGGTCCTTTCGAGTAGAAATGGTGTCAGCAAGGAGAGTCCACCAAAACTATTGTCAGACTCTCAGCCTTAGCTGGAATCATTCTTTAAATGAGTAGAGATAACTGGATATTGCTTTTTGAATATACCGCCAGTAAAATTCTGGAGGGAGAAAGTTGAGAGAAAATAATGTTTTGCACAAATAACAGTAAGTAGTTGCACTTTCTTTTTTTCTGCAAAAATGATTTATATGCCAAAAAGTTTAAGTTGCATATAGAGGTGTGTGTTAAGTGTCTCTGGGTTAAAACTTCAAAAGCTTCCAGCGAGCCTGAGATAGTTTTCTATCAGAGATAACGATATGACCCAGCTGACTTTAGTGTATTTTTTCTGAGAACAAAAATGTCCACACAAGTTTTGCCATGGCTCAGATGAGTACAGAATCGGGACCTCTACTGAGGATTCCAAGGCTCTTACCTAAATATTTGATTAGATTTATTTTTCTAGTGAAAGAATTATTTTGCTCATGTGTTTACAGAGCCATTTTGAAAAAGTTTTATAATGGAATATGAAAGCTGATGTACTGTCTTTTGAAAATACTTTAGGACATCTGTACAGTTGTATCACATTTTACTTTTCAAGTTTGCTTGACAGGGTCAGTGCCGCTTGCCCATTTAATAAAGCTGGACAGCATCCTAGTCAGCACCTCAGCGGTCTCCGGAAAGCTGTTTATCGATCCGTCAGAGCCAACTTCCGAGCTTCAAGACTGGCTACTCTGTACATGCTGAAAAAATATCCTTTCTGTAAAAAAGCTATTTGATTAATACTGTAGTTTTGTCGATGTTTGGAGTTCACGTGGCTTGAAAAGTGCAGTATCACTGCACTGTTTCAGACAAGCTGGACGGAGCTTTTACTATATCAATTTTCCAAACAGCATGTTTACAAGTGAATCAAACTAGAATACTTTGTTCAGATTAAGTTTTGTGAAGCATAATCTGTATTCCTTCAGTGAATTGCAGACTTTATTTTGTGGCATTAGAATTTCAAGATGCTTTTCCCTGTATATTATACTGCATGTGCAATCATGTCTTCACCCGGTATTACAGTAAAAAAGAAAATATATCTATTCCTGCTTTGGAAAACAACATGCATGGAGACAATAGTTGTTGGTGTTGCAGGCATTGAAAATCTGTCATGACAAATGACTTGTTTTGTATCCCTAAAACATAATATTTGATTAATATATTGTGCCTGACAAGTAGGTAGATGTATTGAGAGATGATGTGATTGCATGCATGTGTGCAGACACACATGTTCTTGCACACACATGCAGCTAAGAGTGTGTTCTGCTTTAATCATGTATAGGAATAGGAACCCTCATTCTGGTCTCAAGATTTCACTTTTAGCTTTGGGAAATACGGTGCTTTTTCTATATAAAGAAAGAAAGCATTATTCTGAGTGTCTGCTTCAAATAAGTTTATAAGAACAACTGATATCAAGTTTGGAAATAATCAAGAATTACTTTAAGAACATAGAAAGACAACTGAAAATGGAGCCAATTAACGTGGCCTTTGCAAATATTCCTCCACCACGAAGAAAGGAAATCCGGTAGTGAATGTGAAAAGGTGCATAGATCATTGCTGTAGCTTGTAAGTTATATGTTCAAGCCATATGGATGAGTGTTAGATTACCATTTAATTTTGTAGCAGCTGATCTGATGGAATGGGTCTTAAGTTAAGGAGCTGAAGAAAATACATTTTGTTTACTCTGGGTAATTTGGGACTTACATCTGTCTTTGAATAATTTTTAAGATGGAAGTTCCATTATAGCAAATTGTCATGCATTTGTCAGTAGTAAGGGGCAGCAGAAGTACATGGCAGAAAAAAGTTTAGGCATGTATATAGGTTCTGACAAATGAAAAGAACAGTATTCTATCTATGCAGAATACAATGGAAAAAATAGAGTGACAGCATCTGAGTTGAGATACAGGCGGAGTCTACTCTGCAGGACATGAAAACTGAAAACAAGGAATGTTAGATGTGAGGAGGATGAGTAAAGGATTCCTCCTCCTCACTGGAATAATTGAGAGTAGCTTTGGGGTAGCTACTTTGAGGTTATCCCTAATTTGTAGTTTTCCCTGAGTATCACAAATGCTTGAAAATTCAACAGGTACCATGTTTATCACATAGGCACTGAGGACAAGGAGCATCTTTCAAATAGATTCAACTGCCTTGTGCAATTCAATATTACTGTTACACTGGAGGGGCCAGAGATTCCTTCATGCGAAAATCCTTCACAGCTGCCACTTCTGACAGCTTTAAACCCTTGTCCATCAGACTGTTACCACAGATCTGGCCTACAGCAAGGGAGAAGAAGGAACTGGAGAGATTTAATAACAAAGTAAGCTAATAAATTAAAAGAAAAGAACTCCCATCAAATGTCTGGAAACTAGATACCAATTCTGACTTCTGCAATTCTTTCTGAAAAATTGTTTTTACGAAAAGCCACAACATATTTTTGAGTTAAGTTCCCCTAGGTTCTCTGAGTATGAACTAGTGAATTGCTCTAGGTAAACTGAGGTTTACTTTTTCAGAGCATTGTGAGGCATGAATTCATTAGCACTACTACTGGTTTACACCAGCCACAGCAAAATAAAGGTCTTTTATCAAAGGGAAAAAAAATAGACAAATATTCTAAATATGTCATTGAAACAAGACTGTCTTTCCTGGATAGTCACAATACAGTTCAGTAAATATTTTTATTGTACTGAGTATTGTTTGTGTCTCTGTAACAAAACAGATTTCTCTGTACTTGGGTAAGTGGAAAAACTGAATTGATTTTACCTGAAACAGCTTTCAATAGGAATTTAATGTGTGAAATGCCAACTAGTCTGAAGGACAACAAATCTTGAATCTTCATATCTAATACACTAAAGATGAAAGCAGTTTAATTGATGACTGTTCATTCTTTTGAATCATTTTTCTCTTTAGCGAATAAGGAATTAATAATTTCTTAAGAATGTGCAACTAACAAGGCCAACAAGGCCAAGTGCAAGGTCCTG